TATTAAGAAATAATTGATATACAGTAAACTGTATGTATGTAAAGTGTACAGTTTGACAAGTTTTGACAAATACACCCAACACGGTTAAGGTAATGATTGATCACCTCTAAAAGTTTCCTCACTTCCATTTGTAACGCCTCCCTCCCTTTAGCACTCTCGCACCTCCTCTTACCCCTGGCTTAGGGCAATTCTACTGATTTTCTTTCTGTCCATTTAGATTAGTTTGCATTTTATATAAATGGAAGAACTTTTCATTTTGTCTGGCTTCACTCAGCATAATTGAGATTCATCTGTTGCTTACATCAATAGTTCATTCCCTTTTATTGCTCAATAGTAGGAATTGTGAAAATTGAGATAAGATATACACACTTCCAGTCTTGAGCTTGTCCCATTCCCCAAAATTTACGGTTCTGAGGATAGAATTTAGCTGGGATTTGAGGTTGTTCTCAGTCTCGTTGAACTCTTCAAGGGCAGAGTATTATTTATAATTTTTATGGAACATAACAACAGCAGCAAGTGTTAGAATAGTCCTTGTTAGATAAGATTTACTGAACAAATGATGGGTAAACATTTCCCTCTTTATTCAATCAAAAAAATAATACACCCAATTCTAATTTTAAAGACTGTTCTTTCAGTAAAGAGTATACCACAAGTATTTTATTTAAAAATGTATGTATTTCATTTTATTTTTTGAAGAAGTTTCACAATTTTTAAATCAAAACAATATAAGGAGGTACACAATAAATGGTTTTGCTCTCCCCTCTGTCCCGTTCACGCCTGAATTCTATCCCTCCCTCTACCATCAGTCATACTACTTTGTTGTGTATTCTTCTAGAGTTTCTTTATGCAAATACAAGCAAATATGAATATACTTATTCTTTATGACAAAAAAGATAGCATACCATACACTGCTCTGGACCTTGCTTTTTTTCCCCTACTTAAAAATAGATCTGGAAGATGGTTCCACATCATTCCTTATTTCAGCTGTCCGTTATATGGATAACCACTCTCCTGTTGATGGACATTTTTTAAAATTAAACTTTTAATATTTTGAGATAATTGTAGATTCACATGCAGTTGTAAGAAATAATACAGAGAGATCTGTTTCCCATAATGATAACATCTTGCATAACTATAGTACAATATCACAACTGAGAAATCAACATTGGTACACCATACCAACCTTATTCGTATTTCACCAGTTTTAAGCACTCATTTGTATATGTGACCAGTGAAAACCTTATGAATAACAGTGGAACATTGTCTGATACAGTGCCAGAAGATGAGCCCCTCAGGCTGGAAGGCACTCAAAATACAACTGGGGAAATTGTTCTTGTTAGGTGCTGTAGAGTCGGTTCCAACTCATAGGGACACTGTAGAGTTGACCTTAATGACGTGGATGGAGTCAAGCTTTTGGGACCTTCATTTGCTGATATGGCACGACTCAAAATGAAAAGAAACGGCTGCAGACATCTGTTAATCAGAACGTGGAATGTATGAAGTATAATCTAGGAAAATTGGAAGTCGTAAAAAATGAAATAGAATGCCTAAATATCAATATCCTAGGCATTAGTGAGCTGAAATGGAGTGGTATTGGCCATTTTGAGTCAGATAATCATATGGTCTTCTATGCCAGGAATAACAAATTGAAGAGTAATGGCGTCCCGTTCATCGTCAAAAAGAACTTTTCACGATCTATCCTGAAGTACAGCCCTGTCAGTGATAGGATAATATCCATACGCCTACAGGGGAGACCAGTTAATATGACTATTATTCAAATTTATGCACCTACCACTAAAGCAAAAGATGAAGAAATTGAAGATTTTTACCAACTTCTGCAGTCTGAAATTGATCAAACACGCATTCAAGATGCATTGATAATTACTGGTGATTGGAATGCAAAAGTTGGAAACGAAAGATTGGTAGTTGGAAAACATGGCCTTGGTGATAGAACGACAGTGGAGACCACATGATAGAATTTTGCAAGACCAATTGTCTTATTCATTGCAAATACCTTTTTCAACAACATAAATGGTGACTATACACATAGACCTTACCAGATTTAATACACAGGAATCACATCGACTACATCTGTGCAAAGAGACAATGGAAAAGCTCGATATCAGTCAGAACAAGGCCAATGGCCGACTGTGGAACAGACCATCAATTGCTCACATGCAAGTTCAAGTTGAAGTTTAAGAAAATTAGAACAAGTCCAGGAGAGCTAAAGTATGACCTTGAGTATATCCCACCTGAATTTAGAGACCATCTCAAGAATAAATTTGACGTATTGAGCACTAATAAAAGAGATTGGTCTTTGGTTTGGGTTTTAGTTCTTTTTTATCACCATCAGTTTTTATTTATTTTTGAAGATTATTTCCCTTATAGTAATGAGTTAGGAAGCTCTTCATATTTGTTTTTAACCTTGAACAAATTATTTAATTTTTGAATTCTTGTTTCCAAAAAGAGCAAGTTTATCAGTGTAAATACATGTGTATATATATATATATATCCTAAGATTAACCCATCCAAAGACTGTATAGTCACAAATTAGATTAAGATGCCAAACTGTAACCATGATAGTTTATAAGAGACATACTTAAAGCAAAAAAATGATGTATGGCCAGTAGGGGGGAGCAGTAGGGGGTGAGTAAAGATTAAACTCTTGGAGAGCAATTGGTAATGTCAAAGAGATTTTAAAACAGAAACAAGAGAGGACAAAAACTCCATGATAAAAGGTATTCCAGTAAATTATATTTGCTAAGTATCAGAATAATAAAATATATAAAACAAAAATGAGAATTCCAAGGAGAAACTAACAGATATAGAGTTGTTGGTGGCAGATTGTAAACTCTTTGTGATCAGTTCTCTGACAGTTTATGTAAACAAAAAAACCAGCAAAATGAGTAGATAGAACAGACTTGGGTCCATCCTTCCGTTGTGAGGCTCTCACTTTCTTTTCCAGTGTGGATGAATGGGGATGGTCTCGGCTACCTGATTTAAAAGGAGCCAGTGATTATTTATTGCATCATCTTGTGTTGATATAATCAGGGGCAAACTGACCATAAAGTCTCCCCTATCCCCATGATCTTATTCTTAAAAGCAAATTTATGGCTGTGTTTGACTACCGTTCTGCAGTAAAACTAGAAATTTGTAATGTTAAGTTTAAACCAGTATTTTGCAACTATTTTAATCTGTGTTCTGTCTTGATGAACTCACACATTTTCTATGATTTTAATTACCCCAAAAGCGTTTGTATTTCTAAAAATATTTATTAATAACTTGAAAATCAGTTGTTTAGATCTTCATGCAGCAGACCAAAGCAAAATACGATTTGAATGGTGATTAAGAAAATATACTTCATTTCAAAGTATTTTAAGGCACTTGTGTAAAATGTATTAATGCTCTTGTGGGAGAACTGAAGGTGAGTATGACAGAATCCCTCCCAGAGCACAGTCTTGTGGCAGAGTCAGACAGATGCCTCAATAATTCTAATAATACAGAGATTGTTAGATAACATTATATAAGCACAAACATTAGAATAAAGTTATTTTGCTCTTTTATATTTCTAGTATATACCCTGAAGAAATAAGAAGAGCTTACTCTCACCAGTCTCTTATTGCCTGTTATATTATTTCATTGCTTTGGTCAGTGGAACAGAGGTTGATATTTATTAATATGAAAAGCTGTTATAGAAAAGATTTTAATAGAATATTGATCATAAAAATAGTAGTAATATTTATGATTCAAATCCATCATAAAATTGAAAATGTAATTTTTGTTTCTGTTTCTGCTTGGTATTCTGTTAAGTCAGACCTAAAGGACAACTTGGGAAGAACTGGGGCTCTATGCTATGGTTTGGAGTCCCTCGGTGGCACAAATGGTTAAGTGCTGAACTGCAGCTGAAAGGTTGGCAGTTCGAACCCACTCAGAGGTACCTCAAAAGTAAGACCTGGTGATCTGTTTCTGAAAGGTCACAGCTTTGAAAATTCTGTAGAATGCAGTTGGAATTGAATTGATGACAGATTAACAAAAAGAACATACTATGCTCATGAAAGTATTTTTTGATGAATATTTTATAGGCTTTGTTAGGTTCTTGTTTTTGTTAGCTGCTGTCAAGTCAGCTTCCGACTCATTGTGACCCCGTGCGTGATGGGATCAGACTGTTGTGATCCACAGTTTTCATTGGCTGATTTTTCAGAAGTAGCTCTCCGAATCTTTCTTCTAGCTTTTCTTAGTTTGGCTACCCAAATACCTTGGTTAAGTTGCTTGAAAAAAAGAAATAGTCATGTCATACTACAAGTAAGAGAAACAAAGTTGATGCAAGCAATCAGGGTGTCCTCTTGGATCCATTTTTGTTAAGAGATGAAGAGGTAGTCAGTGGTCAATTTGAATGTTTCTTCTGAGTCAGAGGAATCTAATACAACAGTTGTTAGTTGCCTTTAAGTCTATCCAGACTCATGGCAACCCCATGTGTGCAGAGTGGAGCTGCTTCATAGGGTTTCCAAGGCTGTGACCTTTTCAGAGGTAGATCACCTGGCCTTTGTTCCAAGGTGTCTCTGGGTAGGTTAGAACCTCCAACCTTTTGGTTAATAGCCAAGCGCTTAACTATTTGCACCACCCAGGGACTCCTAATACAACAGTAGGAAGTTGTTTTGAAGGCTGAGATGATTACTCTCAACAGAAGGCGGTTGCTGTTTGAAGCAGGGCAAAAATTGTGTGTGGGGGGAGTGGGGGATAAGAAACCTGTTCCTAGGTTTATCACAGTGGGCATCCCCCCAGTTAGCTAGGCACTCATTTGCGTTTCAGTACATGCCAGTGTGCCGGCTGCACCCTGTTTCACTTGAGGCCTGTCTATGGATGATGTCCATGCTGCCTTCATGGATATGAAACAAATATTACACAGAATGTTAAAAATGTAATACTTTACCGATAGCATCTTCCTGCCAAGATGTTGGGAGGGCTGTTTTTAATGCCGTCTCTCTCTCTCTCTTTTTTAGCTCTGCTTATGATAATGTCAACAAAGTTCGAGTAGCTATCAAGAAAATCAGCCCCTTTGAGCACCAGACCTACTGTCAGAGAACTCTGAGGGAGATAAAAATCTTACTGCGCTTCAGGCATGAGAACATCATTGGCATCAATGATATTATTCGAGCACCAACCATCGAGCAGATGAAGGATGTGTATCCTTTCCAGGCAATTGACTCCCCTGCTTGGTCATCTTATTGAATAAATATAACTTGAAATTTTCTGAACTTATCAGAGTAAAGTAAGCATGTTAAGGGGAAATTGTAATTTGCTTGCCATTTACTATAATGCTTGCATCATTTAAAACATTTCTCTGATTCATTTTATTAGTTGTCCATAACTATTTTTATTATCTTTTGGGCAAATCCATTATATCCACTGTCAGTTTTGGTACAGATTTCCTCTAAGTGTAGTTATAGAAAATCTTGTTTAATACCATTTTCAGTCATGTTTGTTTTCCATTCAAGGTATGGTTTGTTACAATTGAGAAAAGGAAAGGGCAGTAGACTAAGAAAGAGGCTGCCCTGGATATCTACCCAGTCAAATCCAGACTGTCCTGATCTTAGACAATGTCGCTTCACCTCTTTAGGTCTGTTTCCTCATCTAAGGAGCCCTGGTGGTGCGGTGGTTAAGAGCTACGGCTGCTAACTAAAAGGTCAGCAGCTCGAATCCAGCTGCTCCTTGGAAACCCTATGGGCCGGTTCTACTCTGTCCTATAGAGTCGCTATGCGTCGGAATCGACTCAGCGACAACAGGTTTGTTTATTTTTCCTCATCTTTAAAATGAAGGAACTGGACGTTATTATCTTTAAGTCCCGCCAAGTCCTGAAATTATGTGATTAACTATGACCAGCATTTAGAAATCTGGACTAAGCAGGCCCAGGAAATGCTGCCTGGGGAGAGGCTACATTTGAAAGGTGGAGGCATTAAGTATACTGAAGAGAGTAAACTGCAGAAGAGAGAAGGTTGTCTTTTCAGGTTAGTACAGCATTTCTACCAGTTTGCTCAGTTTGCATTCTGCCCCTCCAGAGAGAGGCAGCTCACTGTCTCTAGGCAGCCTTTTCCATTTTCAAACAGCTGTTACTAAGTTGTGGTATTTTAAGTGAAATGCCTTCTGCCACTACCACCTAGTGGTCCTGCTTTACCTTTTGCCGTGAAAATCAAGTCTGTTTCAGGTGACAGTTTTTCAAGTTCTGTTTCCTTTGAATCTCATGATGCATCTCATCTTGCATGAATCTGTAGAAGACATAGAATAATATTTACACAGAAATGAATGAAAGAAAAAACACTGCTAGTGAAATAATATTATGGTGAAGTTAAAAATTAAAGGCCTTTATAATTTAATTTCTGTAAGAAAGAAGGTGGCCATAGCTAAAGTTCTAGGTGCTTAGTTACATAGGTAGGCAGGAAAGCAAGAGGAGCCAAACTAAAACTAGTACCATACTTCCCATCGTCTTGTTTTTTTTTTTGTTTTTTTTTTAGGGTCTTAGCATTAACTGAAGAGTAAGCAAATAGACTGAGATTTGGATTTAGTAGTGATGTATTTCTAGACCAGTATTTCCAAACATTTTATGGTTGGTTCTTGAGGGGATAGGTCAAGGGAGAGGCGAGAAGGAAGGAAAAGAACAGTGCCATTGTAAGTTGTTGCTAGACCAAGGAGTTGTTAGATGCCCTCAAGTCGATTCCAACTCATGGCAACCCCACATGTTACAGAGTAGAACTGCTCCATAGGGTTTTCTCAGTGTAATAATGGAAAGAGATCTACCGGCCTTTTATTCTGCGTTACCACTAGGTGAGTTCAAACCACCGACCTTTAGATTAGCAGTCAAGTGCAAACTGTTTGCGCCGCCTAGGGACCTGGGCCAAGGAGAGGATTATATGAAGCTTACTGGCCACCATCCTTACCCAGCCCTTTCCAACAGCTTTGGAGGTGGCTTGTTGATGGTGGACAACTTAGAGACCAAGAAGGTGAGATTGGCCGGTATTTGCATAATGACCTGTTTCAGATCTCAGTCTAGATCAATCAGTTCAGGGAGGTATAATGCCTTTTGTCTCACAGGACTTAAAAGAGAGTTAACTACTTCGGGTTCCTTCAGTGAAGGTATACTCAGTTTTCAGTTTCTCATTTTCTTCCCTGGTCCCATGATGTAATAACGGACCGATTAGGAAGAGGGTATGTTTTGTTTCCAGTGCTTTACTAAATATGACCAGCTATTTGATGTGTTACCTTAACCTGTCCAAACAGATATATAGTACAGGACCTCATGGAAACAGACCTTTACAAGCTCTTGAAGACGCAACACCTCAGCAACGACCATATCTGCTATTTTCTTTACCAGATCCTCAGAGGGTTAAAATATATCCATTCAGCTAATGTTCTGCACCGTGACCTCAAACCTTCCAACCTGCTGCTCAACACCACCTGTGATCTCAAGGTCAGCCAGATTATTTATTCTTCAGGTGATAACTATTGGAAAACTTGTTTACTGAGGCATATCTATATTTATCCAGGACTGTGTTTATTATTCATACTTAAAATTACACCAGAAATACATGAAAACATTTTTATGGTAAAAAGGTAAGTAAAAAATTCTAGTCCTCTTTGTTTCTTCTCCACTTTGTTACTCCTTCCTCTCCAGAGGTAAGCACTATAACAAATTGATGTATTTTCTTCTAAACTTTCTTCTTTGCACTTACACGTGTACTGTTATATGTGTAAATAGGGTTACGTACAATATACATAAGTTTAAAAATCATCTGTTTCATTGGTGATCTTCTTTAACACATTTTATCAAAAACCACTCAGAAAACAGAAGAAAACTTAACCTCACTGATGTTTATACATAATAAGACATTCCAAATAAACAAGAAAAGCCCAGATCCCTTACAATCCTCAGGGTTCTCCTGAAAATATGCAACGTTTATATATTTTAATAGACGGCAGAGCTACGCAAGGAGGGAGATCTAGGGATGTGTTAGATGTGAAGAAAGAATGTGGATTCAATCTGATAAAATGCACATGAATTCAAGAAGACGTAAGTAAACAGAAAGACAGCCCATGTTCATGGATTTGGAAGACTTAATATTGTTAAGATGACAGTTCTCTCCAAATTGATCTACAGATTCAGCGCAATTCTTATCAAAGCTCCAGCTGGCTTTTTTTTTGCTGAAATTGACAGTCTGATCTTAAAATTCATATCGAAATTCAGGGAACCCAGAATAGCCCAAAAAGTCTTGAAAAAGAAAAAAAAGTAGAGAACTCACATTGCGTGATTTCAAAACTTCCTAGAAAGCTACAGTAATCAAGGTAGTGTGGTGATGGCATAAAAATAGACATAGAGAGCAATGGAATAGAATTGAGAGTCCAGAAGTAAACTTACACATTTATAGTGAATTGATTTTTCAATAAGGGTTCTAGGCCAATTCAGTGGAGAAAGAATAGTCTTTTCAACCTATGGTCTGGGACAATTGGATATCCACATGCAAAAGAATCAGGGTGAACTTTTTACTCACACCATACACAAAAATTAACTCAAAATGGAATATAGCCCTAAATTAAGAGCTAAAAGTATAATACTCTTAGAAAATATAGAAGTAAACCTTTGCAATCTTGGGTTAGGCGAAGACTTCTTAGATATGACACCAAAAGCACAAGTAACACAAGAAAAAACATACTGGATTTTATCAAGATTAAAAACTTGTGCTGCAAGCTAAACCATCAAGAAAGTGAAAAGACAGCACAACCTACAGAATGGGAGAAAATACTTGCCAATCGTATCTGATAAGAGACTTGTATCTAGACTATAAAGAACTCTTACAACTCACTAAAGAAAGATAAATAGCCCAATTAAAAATTAGGCAAAGGATCTGAGTAGACATTTTTCTAAAGAAGATATACACATGAAAATATTCTTGACATCATTAGTCATCAGGGAACTGCAAATCAAAACCACAATGAGATACCACTTCACATCCACTAGGATGACTGTAATAAAGTCGGATAATAAGAAGTATTGGTGAAGATGTGGAGAAATTAGAGCCCTCCTACACTGCTGGTGGGAACGTTAAATGGTGCAGCCACTTTGGAAAACAGTGGGGCAGTTCCTTAAAATGCTAAATACAGAGTTAACATACAACCCAGTCATTCCACTTCTAGTTATATACCCAAGAGAAATGAAAACATGCAGCCACACAAAAACTTGCACATGAATTTTTATAGCAGTATTACTCATAATAGCCAGAAGGTGGAAACAAGTCCAAATGTCCATCAATGGATAAATGTGGTGTATCCATACAATGGAATATTATTCGAAGATAAAAAGGAATGATCTACTGACACATGCGACCTCATGGATGAATCTTACGAACCTTATGTTGAATAAAAAAATCCAGCCACGATTCCATTTATATGAAATGTCTGGAATAGGCAAATCTATAAAGACAGAAGGTAGATTAGTGATTGCCTAGTGCTGGCAGGGTTGGAGGAGGAGTGAGGAGGGACTGCTAATGTGTACAGGGTTTCTTTTTTGGGGTGATGAAGTACAACTCTGTGGATATAATATTAAAGTCCATTGAATTGTACACTTTAAATGGAGTGAATTGAATGGTACGTGAATTATATCTCATTAAAGCTGTTCAAAAGCATATGGATGTATAGCAGTAATTGTTTCTTGGATTTCAGTTCAACAGACATTCTTGTTAGAATCCCTGTAAGGTATACCAGGCAAGTGAGATGTGTGTCTGCCCCTGAAATCTGAAAACTGGTAGGTCAGAGATCTGATAGGACAACAGATGTTTGTTAATAAAATGTGCTGTAACTGAGATGCTGAAAAGAGTACTGTGTAAATGCAAAGGAAGGGAGGGGTTCGATCTGACTAGGCTTTACCCAAAACATGGAGTCCTAGGTTTGGTTGCAGCATTGGGTGAGTGATAGGGAGCCATTGATAATAAGTTGGAGAGTCTGGTTGGAAGAGGATTGTGGAGAGCCTTCTGGAACTATCTAAAAGAAGTTATTCTGTGGTGGGTTCTATCATCAGGTGGTCAGCCTACTGCACTCTCATTGGGTGTTTGAAATAGGATGGCTGACATCTTGTGTGGTGTTGTGGAGGATGCCTTCCTTCATCAGGTATGGGTGGTTTGGTTTCTCTCACCCCTTAGGAACTTTCTGATTCATGTACTTTCCACATGGGATGTAGCCTGACAAAATAAGGGTCCTTTTCCATGGATCTGTGCAGGTGAAAGCCAGGCTGAGTACAAAGGATTAAAGCTGCTTTTAGGGATGACCACACTGCTTCTTTGGCTTTTAATGGTTTTCTTGGAAAATGATGATGAATATTTCTTGTGTCTTAGTGTTTTTCTTTTTTCTTTTGGTTTCTTATCATCTCAGCCCTGTTATTGCAGATTGCTTTTGTTTGTTTTTATAGAGACATTCTCAATGAATATTTTAAGTATATAATGTTTCTGTGAAAAGTTGACCCTTATTTCTCCTTGAAACTGTTCATTCTTGAGAATTAAACAAACTGCTTTCTCTAGGACAATTTTATACACCAGAATTTACACCCACAATGATAATATGTGTTATTGGCCATCTATATAATCCAGGCATTGTTTTTAAAACCTAATTTAACACACACAGTCAGAAATACAACAGGATATGTTAAGTATTTTAGGTAGGTAGTTGCTGTGGAGTTGACTGCACTCTTGGCAACCTTATGTACAACAAAACAAAACATTGCTTGGTTCTACATCATCCTCAAGATTGCCGGCATGTTTGAGTCAATCATTGCAGCTATCGTGCCAGCCCATCTCACTGAGGGCCACGCTTGCCGTTGCTGGCCCTCTGCTTCACCAAACATGATGTCCTCTTCCAGCAGTTGATCCCTCTGATGACATGTCCAAAGCAAGTGAGCTGGACAGTGTTCTGTTGTGACCTGTAAGGTTTCCGTTGGCTGATTTTCAGAAGTAGATCACCAGGACTTTCTTTCTAGTCTGTCATAATCTGAAAGCTCGACTGATATCTGTCCACCATGGGTTAACTTGCTAGTGTTTGAATACTGGTGGCATAGCTCCCAGCATCACAGCAACACTCATGCCACCATAGTACGATGCCACCACAGTATGACAAACTGATAGACGGGTCGTGATTTAGATATTTAGAGTAGTACAGCTCACCCACATTAAGAAATGTGCGTATGCAGCGTACATCATTCGTGTGGCATATATTCAGGAAAGAGTCTCATTCCAAAGACAAGTACAATGTGTCGCCAAAGTCACTGATTTGTCATAGTGAGCATGTCCAAAAGGCAGGACAGGGTACATGGCAGTTCAGTGTGTATGAATGAGGGTTGAGAGAGTGCCAAAGGAAAGAAGAGTCTTTTCCATCCAAGTTTTGGTCACTATCTTGTGAAGACAGTGATGCCTGTTCCCTGGACCCCATGCCTAGAAAGTGACCTGCAGCCTTACTGAGCTCTTGTTATTTAGCTCCTTTTGAATTTTCAATCAGGCAATTATGTCATTTCTTTTTTTATTTCCTCTATTGGCTTCTGTGTTGCTAGAGTGTTTCCTACAAGCACAGAAGGGTCTGAAAGGACTGACATCAAGGGGCAGTAGTGTAGGTGCGATTTGCCTTTTGGCAGCACCAGCTTCCCTCTTACAGCCACATTGATGTCCTTCCTACTCAAGCTAGAGGTTAAAGCTTTTTCTCACATCTCAGGGATGCAACCCTTGGTGGACCAATGGCCAAACTGGGAGGGGCAGGAAGCTCCTTTCATTGGTACCTCCCATCAGGCCCCTGGATGTGGTTCCCGTCCACTCGTGGCTCTGAGGCCAGGTGCATGGTCTGCCCCCCACCAGTCCCTGCCTCTCTTGGAACCAAGTGTTTATAACTTTTGCCCTCAGACCCTGACCCACCATATCCCCTCCTGCCTCTTCCGCCACCATCTCCCATAAGACTCCTGGGCAACATTTTTACACTGAGCCTTCATTCTGTGTCCCTGAGTGGTGCAAACAGTTTGTACTCGACTACTAACCTAAAGAATGGCAGTTCAGACCACCCAGAGGCACTGTGAAAAGGCCTTGCAATCTGCTTCCATAAAGACTACAGCCAAGAAAACCCTATGGAGCAGTTCTCTATAACATGTGGGGTTGCCATAAGTCAGAATTGACTTGATGGTAACAGGTTTGGTTTTTGGTTTCATCAGGGGGATTTGGTCTATAACTGCCTGTGTGCCCTTGCTGTTTGCTAGACTTACTCCACAGAAATCCCAGTAGGAATTGCAGGATGTTGGAATCACAGTGCACGGGGTTCTGGTTGTGCCCACAAATTAGGACCCTGGAAGATACAAAATGAAACATGTCTTTGGGGCTTCCTCTGTTATATGAAAATTTGAGGGGTACATGGCCCAAAAAGTAGCTAGGAAGGTGTGCTGAAGTTTATAGCTCATTTTATGTTTCTTGTACCATATCCTAGTCGTTGATATTCCTCTGTGTGGAGTTATACTGAGTATTAATTGCTTTTTTAATTTTGTAGCCTTAGCAGTTTATTGATTAATGCCAACGAAAGTTGGTTAGTCTTTGATGTTGTGTTAAGTGGAGTTTACACAAAAACCACGTGAGCTTTCCATTGATGACCATGAATGAAGCTATGAAATCTTTTGGAGGTCTTTTATTTTTTAAATGCAGCCAATGTTTTTTGCAAACCTGTTGGTTCTATGCCATGTACTAAGTGTGAGGGATACAAACAATCAAACATGGACCCTTTACACCAATTCACTACTCTGAAAATTGGTAATTAAAAGGAAAGAAACATTTCTCTTGTCTTCCCAGTGGATCTGTACATCAGGGTAAACAAATAGCCCCAGCCGATAAATGATGGCTCTGCTTTTAAAAGAATACCAGCTAATAAATGCAGAAGGAATAATGAAAGTAGGAAAAGCCACCATTTTGCAACCCCCAATGAAATGATTGATTTCTACAGTTTTGTCCATGCATCCCTGCTCAGATCCCCTGTGCTGGGCCACTGTGCTGCCTCCCCATATGGACTCCCTCTTCACCACACCCCGCAGGAGACACCTTTTAATTCTACTCAGATGCAACATCCCCACCAGGCTGCTGCGGCTCTCCCCACCCCATTGGCCCCACCCAGTGGCTTTTGGACTGAATTGTTCCTGCAGGGAAGAGATGAGGAAGAGCAGCCGCACATTTGGTTTTAGTTTTAAAGAAATAGATGTTTTGCAGCATTCAGAGTGATAGAGTAAGTTATCTTTCCTAGTGAAGGAATGCTATTCTGGTTTTTAGTTTTTCCTTCTCCCTTAATATTTGCCACTTTGAAAATTATAATTTTATTAACATTACTAATAATGTAATTTTTTCAATCCTGGTAACTTTATTCCTTGATTGTTATTTTAAAAAAAGATTATCAATGATTCAGATATTGTGGGAAATGGTTATTCCAGAGTCTGTGCCAGTTAATCCTCCCCAATTGTTGTGCTTCTTCTAAACATTTTAAGTAAGGCATTTATTCACCAGATGTTGAATGCCCACTATGTACAGGACACTTAGGAATAAAAAGCAAGTCCGGGTGCCTTTTCTCGTACTTACATTCTAGCTGGGGAGACAGGCATTTGCACAGTTAACTTTCAGTGTGTGGTATGTACTCTAATGTGAGTCTAAGAAAGTCCTGTGGGAGTTTAGTGAGCAGTTAATTCTTGGGGGTGGTGTGGATTCCTGGGAAACTTCTCAGAAGAGGTAACCTTCAAGCTGAGTCTTGAGATGTGGTGCTTATGCGGAGGATCTGTAGGCTGAGAGAGTACAGTGGCTAGAGTTAGCCATCAGAGCTACAGAGAAGGACACGGGATTTTCTCAGCACTCATCTCTGTGAAAAGTGTGATCCAGGTGGAAAGTGGCCTTTGGCAAAGTAAGTGGAGAAGCAGATACGGTATTTGCTCCTTTTGAAGGTGCAGTATGTGTTTTGAAGTATCTCAGAAGATGGGGAAATTAGTTATGTGCAACTCTTCTTGACTGGATGGTGATGCTAATGTCCAAGACTGGGAAGGCTAAAGGAAGACATTTGTGATGTGAATGGACTCTTCCTGGATTACTGAGTTTGCGTGCCTATAGGACATCTACACAATCATTACTGTGTGGAAGGGCTCCAAGTCTCTCAGAGATTGTAAGTCTCTTATAGACTTATCCCTCCTCATCCCTGTTTTTGTGGCCTGAGTTCAGGTCCTTATTGTTTCTTAGCTGAATTAATGTGGTAAACCTTCAAACTATTGTCTTTTTTTTCCAGGCTACCTTCTACCCTGTCTATCTTTAACTTGTCTCTCTCTTTCTTGGGTTAGTTCCTGGGGGGCCAAGGAATTAAAATATCCTGCAGATGCATGGGACTAAATACATCATAGTTGTATCTTCTGTACTTTGGAGTCTGTAACAGCACCAAAGTATTGGGTGGCCAGATGGATGAAAGGCCAACAGGTACTTTTGTGGCAAGAGAAAATTAGAAGCTGGAGATATTTTTTTTTTAAGTGTGTCTTCAGAATATGAAGAAAAATTTTTTTGAAGCATTGGGAATGGATATGACTCTGTAGAAGGGAAGAGTCTTTGGAAATGCTTACAGTCATGGAGAACGTGGAAGAAGAGCAAGAAGTGAAAGGTGGGAAATAGAAGGGAGGTGTGCATTGAGGAGCTGATCAGGAGCAGTGGTGATCCAGGAGCACCAGCAGGAGGCCCTCCTGGGTGGTAGTTGGCAACCTTACCAGACCAGTTTTGACAGGTGCCCTCAGCGGGGTTGCTGTGAGTGAGCAGATTATGGAAGGTGGGAGTGCTTCTTAAAATGTGTCCTGTTAAAGACTCCCCCAGCCTGTAGGTTGTTATGGCTGCCCATCTGGTTGTTCTGAGGATGAAATAATGATGAATGAGTTTGCCGACTTCCCAGCAAAGAATCTGTCGCCTAGTAATGGTAGCAACTACTTCCTGTCATTATTATTGCTGTTGTCATTTTCCTTTTGATGATGTTTTGATATCAGATTGGTTAGACTCTCTAAGAATGTGTTCCATTTTTTTCTCTCTCAGATCTGCGACTTCGGCTTGGCCCGCGTTGCTGACCCGGACCATGACCACACAGGCTTCCTGACGGAGTATGTAGCCACACGCTGGTACAGGGCTCCAGAAATTATGTTGAATTCCAAGGTAAGGACCAAGTTTGTATGTAAACAAGGAACCAGAAGAATGTTAGGTGTGTGTTGCAATAAGCCTCTCTCCCTCCGGCCTCTATTCCCATTTGGATCTTGGCTTGGCCTGTCTGGCAGGCCCAGGTCTGCATGTGGTGTCTGGAAATCTCCTTGTTCATCAGTGAACTTCTAGGCCCTGGGTTTTAGCCTCTCCCCATCAGCTGAAGTAGTGCTGACGTTTATAGAGTCGGAGGGTGTACCTCTCTGTGTGCCAGCCCTCATCATTGTTACAGCAAGTGGTCTGTGCCCTACGCCTTGGTTAGCTCTCCTGAAGTCCTGTCTATGGCAGCTTTCATCCCTGGCTTTGCTGCTGCCAACAGGTGCAGACTGGATTTATGCTAGAGGTTATCCAATAGTGTGTATTTCTGTGAGCGTGGACCAACTATTCTATAAAAGTCAGATTTATCTGGTACTGAAAAATGTCTCTTCAGCAAAATTACAGTGTAATTGATTGTACTAGAACAAAATAGAGGCGTGAAAAGGGTAGGAGCTGCTAAATGTACTTTATAGATTCTTTGGAAATTGTATGCTAGTCCGGCTTCTGAATGAAATGTGTTTTAGAGAGTGTGTTCATATCACACACAAACTATTCTAACAAGCTCTGTGTCTTAGTTATAAGAAATGGTCAAGTAAATTTAGAAAAGCAAAAAAAAAAAAAAAAAAAAATCAAGTATGACTTTTTTGTTAGGTTTATGAGCCAAGTGGCAAAAATTGAGGGCTACTGTGGAGACTGAGAGTCAGTATTTTTAGTATTCATTTGCTTTGGCAAGTAGTATATGAATAACATGTTAGAAGTAGGGAGTTAGAGGGCCTGACCTACTTTCTAGATCAAGAATATGAGATTCTGGAATTCATTTCCATCCCCTATAATGTAACATTAAGATATGTGAGAGAAGCAATAAAAACAGACATTGGCCTCCATGTCTAGGACCCATGGCCCAGGAACAGTCCTGAGAGGCTTCATGGGAATGGAAGGAGCAGGTCTAGTTGGCACCTAGATCTCATCCTCTTCCTCCCTCCTTTATGAGTAGACAACTTTATGTACAGTTGCTTTTGTGAGGAAATGGAAATTGTTTGAAGCAGTTATTCTTGATATCCTACATTTGTTTGATTTAGTTATGAAAGTAAAATTCCATTAAATTCCATTATCAAGAAGGATTTGGTGTAACAGATGTTTCAAAGGAGAAAATGCTTTGTTCTCTTTTGTATTACAAATAATCCCACACAGCAGGTGCTTTCTCTGGAGTGTCCACGTGACAGCCACTCCAGCACAGACCCAGTGCGCATGCACAACCTGTGTGTGGAGGAGAACTTCAGCTCTTAGAGCCTTCTTTCGGACTTGAGGTGTACCGTTGTCTTCCGTCTCAGTCCTCCCAGGGAAAGCAACATGCAGGGTGGGCTCTGGACTCTATACTTGCAAATTTGCTGTAGATAAAACTGAGGGTTAATCCTTTTTTTATTTGCAGCACCTCTAGTCTGAGAATGTGGTTTTCATTTTTTCTTTGCATTAATTTAGAAAATTTTCAACCCTGTAGAAGAATTGAGGGTACAATGTACACCCATATACCCCTTACCTAGATTCACCAGGTATTAACATCTTACCATTTCCCTTACCCTTCTCTCCTTTTCTCCCTGTTTCTACTATCCCCCCCTTTTTTCCTCCCTCCCTCGCCTTCTCTCTCCCTCATTCCTCTCTCATTTCTCTTTCTCTTCTCCCCTCTCTCTCTTCCCTTTTGTCAAACCATCTGACACTTCACCAACATAAACCAGCACTTTACCCCTAGACCCTTCGGACGTATGTCTCCTGAAATAAAAGGAGGGGTGTTCTCTGCCATAGCCACAATACCCTTAGCATACCTGAGACAGTCAGCATTAATTTAGTGATATCATCAGTGTATTTCCCAAATGTTGCCAGTTGTCCCCAAAAAAGTTCTTTACAGCTGTTTTTGTTTTTCCAACCCATGATCTGATCAGGATACATGCATTGCACTCATCTGTTAGGTCCCCTTTGTCACCTCCAATCTAGAGCAGCCCTTCCAGCTGCCTCTTCTACATGGCTTGGGTACTTTGCAGAGTGCAGATCTGTTGTTTTGCAGAATGGTTCACATTCTGGATTCTTCCAGCTGCTTTCTCATGATGAGGTTCAGGTCACACATTTCCACCAAGAATACCACAGATCCTGGAGACCATGGATGTGAATACCCTGTTTTCCAGCAGTCTTTCACCCAGTAGTTCAGACCCATGCCTGTATCAGTTATTATACTGGGAATTGCAAAATGGTACTTTTCTAAATTTCTTATTCCTTTTACATTTATTAGCTGGTGGCATTCTTTTATGAAGAAGAGCTTTCCTTTTCCCTTTTATTCCTTTATCTCTCACCTTTGTTTTTAAAAACACTGTTACGGACTCATAGGTTTTTTTTTTTTTTAAATGTGCTGTCCATTGTCACTATTTTTTATTTTTGTTTTTGGATACAAATGTTGTCCCAGTTTTGGCAAGCTGGTATGTTGTGTGTGTATGTATTCATAACATTTTATTTTGATAGAATATTTAACTTGCAGAGAAGTGGCAGGAAAAGTATAAGGCAGCAGTTCTCAAACCTTCTGCCCTCAAGACCTCTTCAGTCTCTTTTTAAAAAAAAAAACAAAAAACTTATTACAAGTTAACATAAATTAGGTATTTTTCAAATTTTTTTATTTTCCACAAAAACACCACATTTTATTGAGAAAAGTGGTATTGTTTTACATTTTTACTGATCTCTTGCCTAATATAAGCATCTGGATTTTCATGTTTGCTTCTGTATTCAGTCTGTTATGATATTTTGTTATGGTTGAGCTTAATGAAGAACATCTGTCCTCACGCATATAGGTAGTTGGAAAAGAGAGGAGCATTTTAGTAGTCTTCTCAGCTACTTGTGGCTATTCTCCCTTGATACTACACCAAAACTCAACAAGTGGTAGTTTCTAAAGGTTAATTGTTGTGTGGACCCTGCAGCCATATCTGTGAACCTTTTGTACTGTGTTACATTAAAATCCACCTAGCACTCAAACCCAGGCATAATTTTGTAACATGAAGCACTAGTCATTTGGAAAATACTGGTTCCCTGAGTAATGCAGATCTTCCAAACGTTGTCACATTCTTTTACAGTATCATCACACATCATGTAGCTTCGGGAAAAATCCCTGGTACTCTTGACAAAATGAGTGAAGAAGGTAAACATCATCTTAGATTATGGAAGATGCCTAACGATCTCTAGACCACCCTTGGAAAACTGCTGGGCAGAACTCCTGTGTAACCTTTACCCCTTAGAAGAGTGGTTCGATATTCTCAGGAGACATTTGACAATGTCTGGAGACATTTTTGGTTGGCACAACAAATCCCGCAGTATGCAGGATAGCAGCCCCCACCACAAAGACTTTCCTGGCCCAAAATATCAGTAGTGCTGAGGTTGAAAAACTCTGCCCGAGAACAAGGACATTCTCTAACATGACCCTAGTACAGCTATGCAGAGCAGGAAATTTAACACTGATCCACTATCTAATGCATAGTTCATGTTCAAATTTTGGAGATTATCTCAATAACCTTTATAGCTTTTCTCACCCCAGTTTACGATCACACATTGCATTTAATGTCATGTTTCTTTAGCCTTGAGTGGTGCAAAAGGTTTGTCCGCTAACCTACTAACCTAAAGGTTGGTAGTTCGAGCCCATCTCACAGCGCCTCAGAAAAAAGACCTGGCAATCTGTTTCCATAAAGGTTATAGCCAAGAAGACCCTATGGAGCAGTTCTACTCTGTAACACACAGGGTCTCCATGAGTCAGAATTAACTCAACAGGAACAACTTTGCTTTGCTTTGGTTTTGGATTTTTAATCTGGAATAATTCCTCAGTTTTTCTTGACCTTGACATTTTCGAAGTGCCGATTGCCATCGAATCAATTCTGACTCTTAGCGACCCTATAGGACGGATTAGAACTACCCCATAGGGTTGTCAAGGCTGTAATCTTTACGGAAGCAGACTGGCACATCTTTTGAAGAGTACAGGTCAGCTTTTATAGAACGTCCCTCAACTCTGTGTCATGCATTTTTGGCACGAATACCACGGAAACAGTGTTCTTCCCCAAGCATTATTTCAGAAGATACATCTTACATCTGGTTTCTGCCAATGTTGGTAATGTTCATGTTGATCTTTTGGGGAAGGTGGTGTCCCCCAGGTCTCCGCCATAAGGTTACCATTTCACTCTTTGTCATTAACAGTGATTTGTGGGGAAATACTTTTGATACTATGTAAATATCCTCTCTATCAAATGTTCACCCATTACTTTTACCGTCCATTGATGATTTTATAACTCTGTCATTCCTCCTGTATTTTATTTCTCTCCACCTATTTATTCATGATTATTTTATTCAATGGGTTTTACCATTCCTACCATATATATTTTGATGCTCAAATTGTCCCAGTTTTGGCCAGTGGGAGCCCCTTCTGACATGTCTCCATTAATGTTGGGCGCATCCTTTCTTCTGGCAGGAGATGCTCCCAAGCTCACCTGGGGCCTTCTGTGTCACAGACCTGGAGCAGTCATTTCTCCAAGGAGCCCTGGTTCCTTTGAATTATTTCTTTTTTACGTGTTGTAAATTTTCTCCTTTATTTAGCTTTCACCAAAAGAAAAGATATTTTGGATTTCAAGAATTTAGAAGGAATTATTTTAAAACGCAGCCCTATTTTACCATAAGTGTAGATATGATTATTACTTCTTAGCTTATTTTATTTCCCAGAAAAATTTCACTGTATTTCCCTAAACTTTAAAATACTACCCTAAATGGCATAAAAAAAAATTTTCCCCAGCTAGTCTCCACGTTGTTTCTTCCATTTACCACTACACCTAGCGTTTGCCATAAACTTCAACTTTACATTCCTTTGAGAAATACCTTTTTTGCACTATTGTGTGATTTAGATAATTATTCCCTACCTTTTAGCAGAATTCCTTTAAAATAAAAATTGTACCTGAAAAATGAGTAGAAAAAGGAGATGAGAATATTGAAAATAAGGATTGTTAAAATATTATGGAGCCAACAGACACTGTCTTTTTTTCAGAAATTCAGGCTTTCAACTTTTTAGAAGTGATTTGCAAAATAGATAAAGGTTTTCTAGAATAGGAGTGCCCCTTCTTTTGAGTTGATTTCCAGATTTTCAAAATAAGTAAATGGGCCACAAATTCCCTAAAGCAATGGGCGTTTGTACAAATGGCTTTGGGGCAGTGTCTCACCTCCTCTAACTTCACAAGGGGGAAGGAGAATCAAGATCAACAGCTCAAGGCTGGTTCATATGAGCTGGAGGTCAGACATGCCTCCTCTCTCCACCATCTTTTAACAATTCTGACACCAACAGTCCCTCCCACAGCACTCTGCTTCTCTGCTGGGTTCCATTATTCATTGCAGTGGCCACACAGAACTCACAGACAATACTCACGATTATGGGGTTTATTAGGGAAGTAACAGGTTACAGCTTAGGTTCAGGAATGCACAGGATATACTTCTTCCATCAGGACAGCCTCTTCCCAGCTGTGCTTGCAGGCACACCTTTCTGGCCCTCAGCCTCTGCCCTGTTGGAGCAAGTGTTCCAAAGCTCTTTTAGCTCTTCCAGTAAGGGCCCAGAGGCACTCTACTCCGCCAGCAAGCTTCCTGCCCAAAGACACTCAGCTCTCCTGTTGCATGGTGCAGGAAGTCCATCATGCTATCTCCTGCCGTCATTTCTCTGCCACTGATTCTTGAGCTTGCTCTTTGTCTGTCTCCTCGTTCCTGGAACTTCTCAGTCATTTCTCTGCCACCGCTTCTGTCTCTCTCTGTCTCCTGGTTCCAGGAGCTTCTCAGTGCAGAGATCCTGGGTCCAAAGGATGTGCTCTCCACTCCTGGCTGTTCTTCTTTGGTAGTGATGGGATCCTCTCTCTACATCCTCTGGGATGGCTCACCTCAAGCCCAACAGTATGGCAGAATTGACCAATCCCTTTGATGGGCCGCAATTACCCTATCTGCACAGTCCCACCCAGTCACTTGGGTTTGAGTTAGAAGACCATGGCGAGAAACGCCACTCAAAAGCAATCCATTGCACCACAGTGTTACTACATTTTCTTTTTCCATCTCCACTTTATAAAGATTCTAGTTCTTCCTCCCAAATGACTTGAAAAAAGGAATGGTGTATGCCTTAGAAATTCTACTTTAATAATAAGATAATCTACTTTGAAGGAAGAAATAAAATCAAGTAATCTTGGTTGTTCAGTATCTTATAAGAAGGCCATATTATTATTTATCCTTGATATCTTTGTGTATTTCTGAATTATGGAGCCAAAGGAAAAGCTCAAATTCTTATAAGCTCTGTACCTGTCATCTAGGAAAATCTCACTGCGTCATGTAACGCAGATGTCATTCATGGCCTTTTCTCCCTGCAGGGCTACACTAAGTCCATTGATATCTGGTCTGTTGGCTGCATTCTGGCAGAGATGCTCTCCAACAGGCCCATCTTCCCCGGAAAGCACTATCTTGACCAGCTGAACCACATTCTAGGTAAGGTTCCCAGCCATTGGGGCTGATGTGTTGAGTTCACCTGCTCACAGCTTCCGTCAGAGTCACCTTGTTAAATTAACAAGAGCTCTTAACAACCTTTAACCTAGGATAGGCATGAATGTTTAACCCTCCTCGATGTAAAAGTGTTAAGGACTCTTTAAAAGCTTGTTAAAAAAGGGTAAGCATTGGGAGGTGGTAAGGAGACATTAATTGCCTGGGTTCATTCTGTCCACCGCTGATGGTGTGTAGTAGGTTTACCTTGGTCTTGATACTTAACAGCTAATTATTTTATCTGACAGGTATTCTTGGATCCCCATCACAAGAAGACCTGAATTGTATAATAAATTTAAAAGCTAGAAACTATTTGCTTTCTCTTCCACACAAAAATAAGGTGCCATGGAACAGGCTGTTCCCAAATGCTGATTCCAAAGGTAAGTATTATTTCACTGAATATTCTTTTTAGGCTTAACTTTTTGTTTGTTTTATTTGTTAAATTGTGAGGTGACTAGCCTGAAAAGTTAGTCTGTAGCTCTTTCATTATTGATTGGACAATGCCTTCTTTAGTGCTCAATTGCTTCTTTCCTTTTCTTACTTGGGAGCAGTGGCAGTAGGGTAACAGAGATGTCTGCAAGTGACTGTCTAGTTTTCCACCTTTTGCTTTCTTTGCTACTCTGTAACTTGGATTAAGTTCACACTTGTAAGGTGTGAAATTCTAGAAGCCTACAAAACAGAAATTACACCTTTTTTTATCTTGTCATTTGATTATTTTTAAAGTCAGGTTTATTGAACGATGACTTACATACAGTAAAATATACCTTCTTTAGGTGTGCAGGTCTGTGAGTTTGACAAATGTATATAAATGTGTAACCACTACCATAATCAAGATATAGAATCTTTCTGCCATTCCAAAAAGTTCCTTCCCCCAGTCTCGGCAATCACTGATCTGATTTGATTTCTGTCCCTATGGTTTCTCCTTCTGAATAGCTTGTGAGTGAAATCACATTGTACATAGCCTTTTGAGTCTGGTTTCTTTCACTCAGCAAAATGCATATGAGATCCATCCATGTTGTTGCGTCTATCCTTCTCTTTAACAAATGGTATGGGGATGATTGGCATTCATATGCAGAAAATGAACCTTGACCATACCCCACACCTTATACAAAAATTAACTCCAAATGGAACATAGACCTGAATATAAAGCCAAAAACTATTAAAACTTCAAGACGAAAACAGGAGAGAATGTTCATAACATTAGATAGGGAAAAATTTCTTAGTTGAACAACACCAAAAGCATATAATGCATAAAAGAAAAACGTGATAGAGTGGATTTTTAAAGTTAACTTTGTTTAATAATTATATTAACCTTTATTTCTGTTTAACATGTATCAAATATATTAGCTGTTTTTTAAAACTTTATATTATGATAAAACTGGTAGGCCGTATATTGGCCCTTTCCAAACATGTCCACATCCTAATCCCCGGAACATGCAGACATCTTAGGTTACATGGTGAAGGGGAATTAGAGCTGCTAATGAGCTTATTTTAAAATACACTGACTCCTTACAGGGAAAGTCAGCACAGCTGGACTAAACCAAAGCTAAGACGTTTCCTGAATACAATCAAACATTTTGAGGGACATAGTAGCAGGGGTAGGGGTCTAGGGACCATGCTTTCAGGGGACGTCTAGGTCAATTGGCATAAAGCTTATGAAGAAAATGTTCTGCATCCTTCTTTGGTGAGTGGTGTCTGGGGTCTTAAAAGCTTGCAAGCGGCCGTCTAAGATGCATCAATTGGTCCCAACTACCTGGAGTAAAGGAGAATGACACAAGGAAAGTATTAGCCTAAGAGACAGAAAGGGCCACATAAACCAGAGACTTCATCATCCTGAGACCGGAAAAACTAGATGGTGCCCAGCTACCACCAATGATGGCTCTGACAGGGAACACAGCAGAGAGTCCCTGGTGGAGCAGGAGAAAGGTGGGGTGCAGAACTCAAATTCTAGTAAGAAGACAGACTTAATGGTCTGACTGAGACTGGAGGATCCCCAGAAAGCATGGCCACTGGATTCTCTATCAGCCCAGAACTAGAACAATTTCTGAGGCCAGTTCTTCAGACAGGGATTGGGCTGGACTGTGGGACATAAAGTGATACTCATGAGGAGTATGCCTCTTAGCTCAAGTAGATACAAGAGACTAAACGGTCAGCTTCTGTCCAGAGTTGAGATGGGAAGGCAAAGAGGGTTAGGAGCTGGTTAAATGAACATGGGGAATCAAGGGAGGAAAGGAGGAGTGTGCTGTCGCAGTATGGGGAGAGCAGTTAGGGTCACATAACAATGTATGTATAAATTTTTGTATGGGAGACTAACCTGAAATGTAAACTTCAACAATAAAAAAAAAAAACTCCTCACTTATTATCTTGTTATCCAACATTTTGCATGCTACAATAGTAAAAAATCTACTGTCTGACTATTTTGCATACTAACAATGTGTCCGGCAGTAACAAACACCAGGGTGCAAGGCGAGAGGATCGTTGGCTGGGGTAGTTAAGGTTATGTGTCCACTTGGCTGGGCCATGATTCTCAGCGGTTTGCAAGTTATATAATGATGTAATTTGGCCATTATGTAATGATGTAGTCATCCTCCATTTTGTGATCTGATGTGAGCAGGCAATCAGTTGAAAAGGGAGTTTCCTTGGGGGTGTGGCTTGCATCCAATATAAATGGATGTTCCAAGAAGGCTCACTCTCGCTCTGGATCCTACATCAACCAGCTATATAGCCTTACGGACAGTTCTGACAATGGAGAAGAACTATCATTTGAAGGTTTTATATCTAATTAATTTTGTTGTCCTGTACTGTATTATTGTAAAATATGATTTTGTACTATATTTTATTTATATTTTTGTACACAGTGAAGCAACATGTAATACACTGAGTTTCCACTGAACCTTGAATTGTCTATTAAGCTTAAGTTAAGAATCAGTAAGGAATCATAAGATTAAAACGATTTCATTCATTTCAGATCATCTCTTGCACATTGAATATGGTAGGCTAAAATAAACTCTGAAACACAGTCTTGGTTAGGCCTTGTTGTTATTAGGTGCCGTTGAGTCTGTTCAACTCATCACAACCTTGTAGGACAGAGTAGAACAGTCCCATAAGGTTTCCAGGGAACTGCTGGTGGATTTGAACTGCCATCCTTTTGGTTAGCAGCTGATCTGTTAACTACTGCACCACCACGGCTCCGGGCTACCCTCATTTTTGTATAATGCTGATTTTCACATAACGACCTGGTCTTTGTAACCTAACCAAGTTGATAAGTGAGGAGTGAGTGTAGAATATTATCCTGGATTAGGAGGTGGGCCCAAAGTAATCTCCTTAAAAGGAGAAGAGAGAATTGGAGCAGGGTGCTTGCCAGCACCTTGGTGCTTGTCGTTCCATATCTTGTTCAATGCATACCTACAGACAAATGTGTATTTTTACCTGAAGTTTACTTTTTAACAATAATTGTTATAAAAGTTAATATTTTTTGGTAAACATTTAAAAATAGGAATATTTAAGAAGTTATAATTATCCTTGAAAAGTCACTGTTAACAGAATAGTGTCTTAAATACCTTCCTTGCCGGTATACATAGATCTGGCTTATTTTTTTCTAACTTTAATAACTGTCTTAGATGTTAAATTTGTCTTATGTATTGCTCTGAGTCAAGGTGTAGAAGCATTTGATTGTTTAGAATTGAGTTTCTTTTGAATGTAGGAGGAACTGTCTTTTAAAATCTGTGATAAAGGTAGTATATTATTGTATATAGTTTGGAAGTATAGAAAGAATAGGTAAGAGCATAAGAAATACTCTTAATTACCAGAATTCCAGAATAACAACCTTTAACATTTTGCTGTACCAGTGTGTGCACAACTTTTGCCTACCTAGTTGTAATTTTGTAATTATATAATCTATTCTCATTGTAGAATTTTTTACTTAGAACTTCACATGCATGGCACATACTACTGATTAGATTGACTTATATACTATATTTCCCTAAGCATATTCACTAAATCTCATTTCCTAAGTTCCCTTTTTAAAGAGGTGTATATGTAACAAGGAGCCCTGGAGGTGCAGTGGTTAAGAGCTGGGCTGCTAACCAAACGGTTGGTAGTTCAAATCCACCAGCTGCTCTTTAGAAACCCTATGGGACCGTTCTACTCCATCCTATAGGGTCGCTATGAGTCAGAATCAACTCGATGACAGCGGGTTTGGTTTGGTTTAGTTTTGTACGTAACAAAGTTGCGTAGTTAAGACTTCATGGTAAATAGACCTATTCTCAGGCTTCCATCTTCTGTTTGTTTCCCTACTCTCTTCTGTCTGTAGTTGGTCGAGGTTTGTATCAAATCACCTCTAAGTTTTTTGTAGGTTATTTTCCTGAGGTTAAGGTTATGAACTTAAAGGTTGGTTCATTCAGATAATAATTAATATCACTTAAATGCAGGAAGTTAATTTTTTCTAAATAAGTTTTAGTGTACTTATTAAGGGTACAAAGAACATTTCTGCTTTTACTAAAAAATTGCAAATAATGATATTGTCACATGTGACTAATGTGACTTGAATATGCTTCATTAGGTTGGAGCACACTGATTATTCTTCATTGTGTTCAAGGGTGGATTGTAGATTGTTTATTTCATAAATACTTGGTTTTAATGGCTGCCATTGTTGAAAACAACCTCTCTTGAAGATGAATAGATCCAACAGCTGCACTTACTAAATCACAATGCTCTTTTTTTTTACTTCCATCTACCAATAACACTAAGATTTTTTGATGAGATTTGGCAAGGTCATTCCCTTTTTTCTTGATGTCACACAGTTGTTCTTATAGAACAACTAGAAGGTGTTGTGCTTAAAATTTTTTTTAATGTGTCCAAGACCCACTAAAACTTTGATGAAACATTTTTGAACAGCTAGAAACTTCTGTTTCCAAGTTTTAGAGGAGGTAGAGAGAGTTTCATAGGTTATACAGTTCTGGCAACGAAGTCCTGTAATGATGGAAACTTTTCCAAATATCCATTTTCAAAGTGTTCTCCCCAAGACTGCTTTCTTTCAAAAACCACTTACTTTCCCACTTGGTGTTCAAATGGCTTTTCTCTGACGGTCAGACTTGTGAAGGCTGCAGAGAGCCTGCAGGAGGAGGAGGTGCTGCCATCTCCCTGCAGCTGTCTGTCCACTGGTGTTCTTATTTTTAGTTTTATCTTCAATCTCTGGTGTTTGCAGGACTTTTTTTTTTTTGCATTCTTTTTATTGAGGTAAAATATATATAACAAAAATTTTGCCATTTAACTGTTTTTAAGTGTACAGTTCAGTGACATTAATTTTGTTCACCGTGTTGTGCTACCATCACTACTATCCATTTCTGAAAGTTTTTCATCATTCTAAACAGAAACTCAT